CCAGCCAAAGCTCTCTGTTCAGCCAGGCCCGTCTTCTCCCCCGCCGGCTCGTCTTTTGGCACATGGGGACAGCCTGCTCCTGCGCCTTTAAGATTTCCTTCTTGAAGAATGTCCAGCCTTGCTGGACTCCTTTGCCCTCAGGACTGCCTCCCAAGGGACTCTCTCAACCAGTGTCCTGAACAGGCCAAAGTCTGCCCTCCAGAAGTCCGAGGTAGCAGTTCTGCTGACCCCCCTCCTTACTTCTCCAAGAATTGAAAACTCTATCATTTCGTGATCAAAATAATAATCCAATTATTGAATAATCAATCGAATAATGCTGAAACCCCCAGGTACCCATACACAGCAGTTGCTTGGTGGGATTGAGTGTCACAGGGATGTAGGGAGAGCTCTGCCACAGACCCAGAGGGGCTTCAATGCACAAAAAGCATCAGGCTTTCCACATCATGACTCACTCAGTTCTTGAAGAAGCAAATGCCCCTAAACTGCAGGATTTCTGGCACTGTCTACAGTGGCAGAATGAGAGGGATCCCCTGGCTGGAGCACACCATGCTGCCATGTGTGGGCTCTCCCTCCATGGTGGCTGCGAGAGCAGCTGGAAGGTGGTGGGCAGAGCTACCAGGCTCCAAAAGGACAGACTGCAGAGGACTGAGAAACACCACGGTGAGTTCAAGGTTTGCTGAGTCGCCTGCCAGAGTCAACAGTCCTCACTATATACCAAGAGCAGCATTTGCACACCCTGAAGAATTGCGTAAGTACCTGACACCTTTTGGGGGGGGGGGGGAAGCAAGAGACTCAAGGCCCCTGCAGAGAACAGTTTAGCTCAAAACCCAACTGTGTTGAGAGGCCTGGAGACTGAAGCTGCCAATTCATAACGCCAGTTCTGCAAAATCTCAGAAACTGCTGTGAACCACACAGGGTCTGTGGATCTTGGCAAGAGACACCCTTAATAAAGCGTAATTTACAGCAAACTGAAGACTCCCCAGAGTGCTGGTACTTTTCCAGGTTCTTAGAGGACTGTTTTGGTCTCGTTACTGTGTTAGAGGGCAACATAAAGTGTAACAAAAAGCAAACATAAAAGAAAGGGTGATAAACTCCCAATACCTCGAGCCTTTGCCTCCTTCTCCCCAGGAACCTCACAGAAGTAACGCGTGGCATCACTCACACAGAGTCCCACTGGAGCTCTGCTCCACGCAGCGCTGCTCAGGACAGACATGATCGGCGAGCCCTTGGAGCGATCTGCAAAAGGGGGTTGAAAGCAAGAAAGGACTGACCAGGCAGACTGCTGAGAGCAGAAAGGAGTTAGCATTGCTACCTCTGGTAGGGCTGTTAACGACAGCACAGGTGGTTTTAGCAAGTCACTGTCCTGCGCATTCTCGACAGACGGGTTTGGAATCTGATTAACGAACCCTTATCACCAGCTGCGATTTTTGTGGATGATAATTTCTGCTGGCAGCAGGAGAAATTCAGAAGGTGCTCAAACACTGACAGAAGAGGCTACTAGGGCACCGTCTTCATCAGGCCATTGCAGGTTTGATAGGTGATTATTTCAATACCTAAATACTTGAAATCACTACAAATCATAATACCTTTCAAGTGCACTGATTTTCATTTGCAAGAATTTATTTTAAGCCACAAATTTGCACTGCTTTTATGAAATCATATAGATGTTCCTGCACATGATTTTAGCTGGAATCAGTGAGCAGACATCATCAGAGAACATTTTTACTGTCTGATATTCATCATTCTCAGGCTACATAAATAACATTCAAGAATTTACTTGTTTCATCACAGCTCAAAGGCAGACAAATTCTGGTCCTGGTTAGCTGTTTTAGGGGATGCAAACTGGTGACTTTCACCTGTGACTGTATCAGGTGACAACCTGGTGACTGTACTCGGTGAGGGGATTTTCCACATAGGGATACACAATAATTTATTTCTAAATCATAGTGTTTGCTCACATTAAAAATCAGCATACAAAATATTAACAACTACTTATGTCAGAGTCTGCTGATAATAAAATCAGATTTTATTATTACCAGCAGAAATAAAATGTGATGCATGCGTAAGCATTTTGAGAGTTTAAAAATCAATTCTCATTAACTGCAGTAGAAAAAAAGGATTTGATAACTTAATTGAAAAGAAAAAAATCTGTCTTTGGTGGGAGTGAAATTAATTGGTATTAGGTAAAATCTTGCCAAAATCTGGAAAGTCACTCCAGCCTTATCCGCAACAGAAAATGTTTACAGATCAGGTCACAGCTAAAATGGACTCAAACACTGTGTGTGTTCACTCAAGGTCTTCTGGAAATGCCCCGCAATAAAGTTTACACAAATAAAGAATGTATTTGCTTTAAGTAACAGCTATAGAAGAAAGTACAGGAAGTGCGTGCAAACTGCCAGCAGACTTCTGTTAACCCACCATCAGAGTCTCCTGCTTTGTAAATCCCACCCCACTTTCTGATGCATTGCCCCCAACTAGCCAGGGAAGCCTTCAGCTCAAAGCCCTGGCTTCATCTTAAAATAGTCTCAGACTATAAATGAATTAGAACTGTCTGTAAATCAGTTACATCTCAAAACAACAATACTTTTCCTTAAATAACTTAAGCCATTCAACACCATGGAACTTCTCACTTCACTATCTTCCCCATAGCACCAGGACCACAAAGGAAGGACCCCTCCCCTGCAGGAGATGGCTCCTGGGATAGGCACTGGCAGAGCCCTTGCGCCTACAGGGCCTTGTTTGGGGAAGGAAGTTCAGGCCAAGACAGAAGGATGACCCAAAAGCACGTGCTGATGGTCCACCAAGATGGCTGAGCTTTCTGCTTGGTCAGCACTGCCTCAAGGGCACCATCAGCACTTCTGCCCTCTTAGAGCAAGAAATGCTGCTGGCCAAATTCACATCTCCAGATCTCAGAGACCTTCCCAGCTGTGCCCCCAACTCCAGCTTCAGTAGGGCAGGGCTTGCCCACCATCTAACATGACTAGTCAGGGTGTATCTAACTTCCCACAACTGCTCAAAGTGGTCTGGATTTCCCAGTGCCTCAGATGAGGAGGGTAGAAGAGGACACTTACTGCAACAGTTAAGCTGCCAGCCCAATACTTGGGGTGCTTTAAAACCAATTTTCCTCTGTGGGTTTCCAAATGTAAACCAATTAAATCTCAAAACAACCCTCTGAGGTAGGTAAGTATCTTTTAATGTCTGTTTTACAGGCAAGAGAAAAGGGCTGAAAGGGCGGTGAAGTGATTGACCCAAGACCCCACAGTGAGTCAGAGATAACCTGAGCCCCAGTTCCTCCTCACAAAACCCCAGACCACGCTCTTCCTCCTCAGGTCCAATATCTTCACTGGGTATTTACAGCAGCTGGTGCACCCCAGGGGCCTCTGCACTTGCTTATTGCCTAAGGGACACGTGGTGTAAAGCTGGAGTGGGGACCCCTGCGTCCCTCCCGTGAGGCTTAGTGAAGAAGAGTGACATGAAGCTGCTGAGTTATCTTTATTGTAGAAGCACGCTAAGACACAGCGAGGCAGCAGAGACCACAATGGCACGTGTGGGGCAGACCCAGGAAGACACCCACTGGGTCCCCACAGCCCTTCGCCCTCCACCTGAGCAAGGGCAGGCCCCATTCACTGCAGAAGGGAATGAAGGCAGCTCTGGCAGTCCTGGGGACTCAGCAGCTCCCCTGATGCTTGACATCAACTCTTCCTTTACTTGCCCTAGGAAGACAGGAGGAGACAGTTTATTACTATAGTCCCAGACAGCAAAGGGGCCTGAAAGGACCACAAGGAAACCTCAAAGCTGTGATGCTCCTGTGCTCTGTAGGGGTTCTGAGCCACCCCTCTCTCACCGCAATGGGGAACAGCAGCACGCTGCTCTGCCAGCATCCTTCCTGCTCTGCAGGGACAGCTTGGCTGAAAAACCAGAGCCGGGGGGGAAAGGAATGGGCAGAGCCCACCACTGCAAGCACTAGAAAGTTTGCACACTCCCACGAGCTCAGCCCCACCATCCCCTGGCTGCAGCAAGAGGAAAAAGCACACTGCAGAGCCCTTTGCCCCAGGCAAGGTTGAACACTCCAACCCTTGTGAAATGCAACCTCCAAAGGACAGGCTGGCTCAAAGGGGGTAAGTCACTGCCCCCCCCTCTGTACCTTTGGTCACAGCAGATCCCTGGTGTTTGCTGGCAGTTTGAACTCCATTATTTCTGGAAAGAAAGAGCAAAAAATAAGTCCATCCCCAAGCATGACCACTGCTGTGTGACACTTGCAGAGCACTAGTATCTGTGTGACAGCCCCTCCGGCCAGCTCAGCGGCCACATGAAACAACTGCAGCAGAGCCTGGCACCAGGGCAGGCACATTGGGTTGCTGCCAGCCTAGGAAAACAAGACTAATTTCAGCCTGAAGCTAGGTGCTTTCCACACCTACTACCTAACTGGGAAAGGTCCTGCTTTTTCTTTTTCCTCCTTCTGCCACCTTAAAAAGAAACATGACAAAATAAAGAGCATTGTAAGAAAACTGGGACTTGCCCATTGCAACCCTGGGAGTTATCTGTTAAGAAACAAATTTAAAAAAAAGGATAAACTGGATATGTCCTTTTTTCCTGACCTATTGATTAACATGGGCAGACTGGTGACTATCACATGGGTGATTGGTGGAAAAACCTTTGAACAAATAAAGGAACTGCAAGATATGCAGCATTAAAAGTGAAATGTACTGGAAAGACCCATAATTAGTTCACCCGTATGACACAGCACTGCAGGACCTAGTGGCCAGCTAGCTTACCAAAAAAGATATCTAAACCCAGGACTCAGACCTACATTCATCCACAGTAAAGCAGCACGGGATCAAAGGAATTTGGTTATGGCACAGACCTCCCGGGGAAGGTGGTGAGCCCAGACACCAGCCAGCCCAAGGCCCCGGGGACAGGCTCTCTGCAGCAAGGTTTTCCACCACAGCAGTGCACAGACACACCCTTTAGTGTCAGATCTCTCATCCACACTGCTCTCATCCCTTCCTACGAGCATCCCTCCCTGATGGCAATCTGGTCACCAGGCAGGCAGAGTTGCCAGAAACACCTGGAAATCCAGTAGGAGCTTTGCAGGCAGGAGTGGATGCAGATAATGAGCTGTGAAGGAATGAGGCAACTTGGACACACATTTTGTCAGTCAACCCAGCACCCTCCATGGATAATTTCAAAATATAACTCGAGGAAATACTACATTTTTGGGTAACAATTTCTTATCTTCCTCCAAAGCTTAGAGAGGCCTTTGCATTTTCGTTCTGCACATTGCAACTGTCTAAAACAACTTCTGATGCCAAAAGCACCACTGGAGCTGGCTTCCTCTGGGTTTTAAGTAGCATATGTTGAGTGCCTGGATCCTCAGTAGAAAAGAGAATTCATTATACTGCAAGTTACTGTGAATTTCAGTGCTGAAAATAACATTGCTCTGTTCATTGTTCATAAGCTTCCAGCTGAGAAATAGGGAAAGTCTTTGAAGGACTCAAAAGGTTTTCCAAGGAAATGGGCTTCCATAAATTTCCAATCTGATTCTTCAGGTAACATAATATACATAAATAAGGAATAAATCATTGGGGGGGGGGGGGGTGTGTTTTTTTTTCCCCCACGGAAAAA